AAGGTCAGGGAGCTCCCACCAACCCTATGGGACCACTTTCCTCAACCACCATCATCTTGGATACTTCCCTGTGCTCCTAAAATTAGCTCTTAAACTTTGCACCTTCTGGGGCCCCCATTGGACTAGGTTCTGCTTGCCCTGTGGTTCCAAGATGAGAGTGTAGTTTACACCTTTATTTTATTCTTGGAGTAAGTTCCCATACTCTGGAGTCAAATTGTAATGAGGCCTATGTTCCTGGAACCTTACAAAACTGAACTGCTGCCCCAATATTCTTTCCTGGGGTCAGGAAGTCCTCTGGCTTACTTGAGCCAAACAAAATTTTCGAGGCAAATATCTTCTGATTATGTGGATGCAGGTGAGACAGGATTAGGGGAAAGTAACCAAGATTTCCAAACCTAAGTATCACAAAGCATCCACTGAAAACTGTGGCTCACAAATCAATGACCACACTTTTAAATATATTTAACACCATGAGATATATGTATATACATATATATGCATATAATATATAATAATATATACTATATAAAAATATACATATAATATATACATATATAAACATATATATATATATTTAAACCGTACAAAAATGTCATGTTTTGTGAGTCAATAATGATTGGATATGGGCAATATTATATGATCAACTTTATATTTAACTGAAAGTTTCACAAAACAATACTTACATATATTTCATACAAAGCACTGTTTTCTTTTCCTATAGCATTTTAAAAGGATGTTGACCACAACCCAATGTATTTCACAATCTACAAATAGATCAAGCCTTGTTTAAAAACAACTCAGACTTAGACCAAGCATAAGAGAGAACTTTGAGTATTTTGGGAAAAGGCAATGATATCATGAATTTTATAACAATTGCAAAAAAAAAAAAAAAAGTATTCCAATTTCCAAGTTAAATCAGATGTCCCAGGGTCAGTGACAATTCTGTCTTCTCTGTTGATCCATCCTTTCATGCCAAGACCACCAGTGATACATCTGTATCTGAACAAAGTTGGTACCTTCGTAACAAGGAGGGCAGCCCAATATAGGGACACACTTGATGAACCGTGGTACTTCTCAGCAAGAGGGTGTTAGTAAGGGGACTGTTAAGGATTTGAGCTTGTATTGGCTGATTTGGAGGAGGGATTGAGCCAATTCTGTGTTTGGGTATCTTGTTATCTAGATGGCAGAAAGAACAGAGAGGGCTAACCCTTTCATTAGTACAGTAATGATATATTAGTCACATTTGGTTGTTTTAAAGTTTTGGACAATTCTTGTCATTGTGCCCTCTGATCAACCTGGGGCTTGGTGGCCATTTCAGTGGCTCTCTAGTTCCCCTGTCCTCCGAAGTTTCCCTTCTTGAAGGACCTGAAACCATAGCTTATCCCCAGAGCAACAGCCCTCACCTGCGAGGGTGCCCACGCAGGTCCCAGTAATAACTCTACTGTTGAGTTCTGAGCCAGCCTGGCTCAAGAGATGGCCAGCAAGGTTGATCATTGATGTTAGCCTGATGCTGGTTGTCAGAACCTTGCCTTCTCACCCTGACCCACTCACTGGCCACTGGAGTATACTAGGACAGAGGGTTCTATGCTGTTGATCCAGGGTGGGCTAGGAAAAATGGAAACATTCCCACATGGTTGCTCAACAGCACCCCACCTGAGGCAGTAAAGAATCTAACAGCCAATACTGAAGTAGGCCTGATACGCTGGCTGGACCCCACTGGGCACTTCATAGAGTTTCAGTGGACTTTCTTCATAGAATATCTTCTTCAGGAGTCCAGGGTTCTGGTCCCTCATGAAACCCACCAAGAGTCTGGCTACCAGACAGTTGAAGAAATCCCGAAAGGGGAATACCTGAGCTACATCTAGTTCTAGGTCACCACTGACACACACCTTGGGGTCACAGGAGAACATTAATAGGTACAAGTAGGAGGGATGTTCAATCCTAGGTTCTGGTGAGCAGGTTCAGGTTGCAGGGGCTAGCGAGCCCTTCAAGGAGGAAACCCATGGGTGCCATGCTGTACTGCTCTTGGGTGGCACACATAGTCTGGCAGCACTGCAAGGAGAGCCTGCACTGACAGCCACACTGCTGGCCCTCAGGGCTGAGCTTGCTCACAGTCTTCAATGTGCTGTGCAGAGCCCTGGCTCTGTAGTTTTCTGGGCACAAGGTGTTGTCAATGAGCAGGTTCAAGGAATGCAGGATGCTCAGTGTCTGCTTGAACATGGTCTCACGTTCCTGAAAGATGACCTTAAATGTGAAGTCATAAGGGCTGCCCTCTTTGCATGACCTCAGACTCCATCAGCTCTGGTCTGCCGATGGCCACCAGTCTGTTGCCAATGCCCTCTTGCTACTCCTGTGAAGTGGTTCTCTGGCTGAGTGTCTTGGAGCTTCCTGTGTTCTGTGTGTAGTTCTGGAAGAATTGGCTCTTTGCCTGCCGCAGGAAGCCTCTTTTCCAAGATTGACCACATGAAAGAACATAGCCAAGGAGGCCACTGTGAGTTTGCTCTTCTCTCTGGCCTGACTGTCCACCAGTTCTCACCTCACTCGGTCCTCCTGTGTCACGGTAGACCTGCCTCCGCATGGCTGAGGATGTGTGTACCATGCCCGAGCTCAAGCATCTCTGCCAGGTACTCAGTCTTGTGGGCAGGGTTGGTTTCCTGTGGTCACTGAGCATCAGCACTTGCTGCTGGGAGGCAGACCGGAAGTCAGGGTTCTCATGGAACTTCACAGAACATGTGCTGAGGTGGATCTGCACCCTGCATGTGACCATCTACGACTCCAGGTTGTCTGCCTTAACATTCTGGAAGTCAGCAGAGAACTTGCCACTGAAGCTGAGGAGGAAGAACTCCGCATGGATGGAGACTGCCCAGGGGTTGGTGTAAGTATCAGTGCGCTCTGCATCAGTGTCCATGATCCACACTGTCTGTCTGCAACACCACGTCTGCGTGGTTTGGAAGGAGGGACCCACCATCCTTTGGCCCAGCTCCACTTTGTGCAGGCTGTTCCAGCTGCTTCCTGGCAGTGTCCTCAGCACCTGCAAGTTCCATACCTGCTTTCAGTCTTGGAAACCTGTTCTCATCTTGCCAACCCCGGGGAGAGCAGGACCTATAAATGAGCAAGGCACAAGGGCATGGCTGGAGGAGAGGTTTGCTTTGGCATCTGCCCTTAGCTTCTCTGTGGCCAGGGGTGCCGAAATCTGTGACCTGGAAGCTAAAATATGCTTAGCCACAGGGTGGTGATTCCGCCCTCCTCAGTGAGCAGTCCCCTCCCAGGCTGCTCTCCAGAGCAGAGAATAGCAAGGACATCTTTTATCAGAGGCACACAGGGAATTGAAACTGGGACAGATTCCAGGCTTTGGGTTGTACCAAGGAGGGCTGATGACAGGCATATGGCCCATGGGCCCTCTGGACTCAGGTCTATGGAGAACAACAACCTAACATCTGCATTTATGAAGCACTTGATATTTCAGTCTCTCACTTGCTCCTTACCGGAGCCTGTAAGCAGGGTCATACTACTGCAACTGGCAAATGTAAGGTTCAAGATCAGGCCCTGAACTGGCCAGGAACAAGCTCACGTCCCAGGCCTGGAAGTCTGGGACCCCCTCCTCCCCGATGGGCTAGGCTGGGAGACATGGGGGCTGGGGGTTACCCTCACTCTTGATTTCCCTGTGGTCCTGCAGTGCGTATTTCAGAAGGGGACTCAGGGCTGCTCTAAGAAGTGAGGGTGGCTGTGCTAATGCTCCAGAGCCCTGGTGCACCAGGAATGCATCCCACCACGTTACACACCTTACAGTGCGGAGCCCAAGGATTTTCCCCCTGTTCCTTCCCCCTGGAGCCCTCTGGGAGCTCTTCCTTTGCCTGAGACTAACAACTGCTCTAAGCGAGACCCTGGTCTCAGTGCTTGATGCCATTTTAACCCCTTATCATTCAGGAACCGAGACCCAGAGAAGACAAAGTGCCCAAGGTCCCTGAACACCACAGAGACAGTATCTGAATCCAAGTTCATTTGATATCACCAAGGGCAGTTTCCATTCCCTGATCTCTATCTGGTATTTCTCCTACCTGGTATTTCATTATCAGGATCTTGCTTTCTATCTCTCCCAGGGCTTTGGCAGATAATGGCTCTTGGAAAGGGCATATGGAGTTACTCCTGGCTAGGTCTGGTTGCAGCCTATGTGGGAGCAGAGGTCTTCACTTCCCACCACATTTGGGGAGAAGCCTGGATTGGAATCTGGGCTCTATTATTTAACAAGAAGCCTCCTACTCTCCTGACTTTTACCACAATCCCTCCTCCCTCCCAGGTACAGGATGAGAACAGTACAAACCTTTTCAAGCTTGATCTGTTGAATGTCTGAATGCCCCGAGGTATGCCTGGCACACAGCACGGTGTTCTTTCAGTAAAGTGGGATTTGACTTGCACTCAGATTTGTCTAAACCCCAGGCCTGGTGCTCTTTCAATCCAAAGGCTCCTTTTGATCTGTATTTTTATTTAAAAGTAGATATTTTAATTATTCCTTTATTCAATAGTTTTATTGGACTATCCTAAGGTCACTTGGGATGGTTATTTGCTGTAATCTGGGAAAAACAAGGGTTTCTCCTTCTCGAATTCCTTCCTATGGAGAGACAGGATGGAAGGATGTACACCCACCTGTTCACAGAGGTTATCTCTGCTCCTTGACATCCTGCCCAGGCCCCTAAGAAAAAGCACCTCATTACAAACCCAAAGGAGTCTGGAAATTCGTCATATTTGGTTAGATCTCTTTCCTAGCACCTAGGGCTGGTTTGTGGGCATTTCTTAGCTGTGGATGAAAGAGAAAATAAACATGTTTTGGCTGAATGGTGGCTAAACATTTGCTGACTTGGATCAGATGCCGGCAGGAGGAGGGCGAGGAGAGCTGTGAGGATGTTTTGTTACCAGCCCTGGGCAGCACAGGCTGAGGCCAAGAGGTTAGGACGGGTCAACTGGTGCCCAGCACTCACATCCCCCAATTGTTCTGAGGCAGCGTAAGGAATACACAGGCAGGCCAGCCTGCAGAATCAGACACTGTGGCCCCCAGCAACCAACCTTGGAGAAGAAGGATGACTTCCTTTCATGAAGGCATAAACAAGACCTTTCAGCTACTAACTTTTAAAAATTACAACAAGTGCTTGCTGTGGAAAATTAGAAGGGTGAGTTCCACCTCTATGGATACCTATAAATACACACAATTTATAAAAATAACAAATAGATGGGGGAAGCCAGTGGAGTAGAGGAAGGGGAATGGGATGGGTGGGGGAAAAGTGGGGGGCAGGTACTGGGGACAGAAATGGAGCAAATTATATTCCATGCATGTATGATTATGTCAAAATGAACCTCACTATTACTTATAGCTATAATGTACTAATAAAAACATTTTAAAAAGAGTAAAGAGTTTATATAAAGTGAAAAAGATCTCCTTCAGCCAGCTGTGTTCCTCAGAGATAACTTCTGTGAACAGGTGGGTGTACATCCTTCCAGAGGTTTCCATAAGTGCAGGCGTGCACCCAGACACTTGTACACACATTACTCGACAGAAATGATACCAGGCCATGTGCGCTTTTATCCACCCAGAAACTGATTCCCAGAGAAAGGAAATGCTGTGCACAAAATCATACAAAGATAGACCGTAGCAAGGACCTAGGTCCCTGTCTCTTGCACCCTGCCTCATTCTTTTGGGCTGTGCTCCTTTGAATTGAGCATCCTGGGGGACACAAATACACTTATTCTGGCAGACAGATAGGGGAAAGAGTTGCAGGTTCAACCAATCACAACTAGCAAAGGGTGCCGAGGGGCTTCCTAAGGTTACTGGCTAGATATTTGCTCTGCACTTAGGGGCCTCATTTTATACTCGCCTGCTTGGGAAGGAATAGGTGAATGATTAAATAAGGATACAAAGTGGTCTTTTAAAAATATTTTAACCTTTATTTTTTACTGTATTTTTTTAATTGGTATATTATAGTTGTACATAATTGTGGGATTTGTTGGTACATATTTCTATATGCACAAAATATAATAAGACAAAGTGATCTTAAATGATACTCAAAGGAAGGAACTATTTCAGTTGGAGCACAATGCTTTTTAAAAAATTTTTTTTTTCTAATTAGTTTTACATGACAGCAGAATGCATTTCAACTCATTGTACACACATAGAACATGATTTCTCTTTCTTCTGGCTGTACACGATGCAAAGTCACACCATTTGTGCTATCTACATGTGCATAGGATAATAATGACTGTCTCATTCCACCATCTTTCCCAACCCCATACCCCCTTCCCTCCCCTCACTCTCTTCTGCCCAATCTAAAGTTCCTCCATTCTCCCTTAGCCCCTTCCCCTATTATGGATCAGCATCTGCATATCAGAGAAAACATTTGTCCTTTGGTTTTAGGGAACTGGCTCATTTCACTTAGCATTATAGTCTCCAGTTTCATTCATTTACTGGAAAATGCCATAATTTCATTCTTCTTTATGGCAGAGTAATATCCCATTGTGTATAGGTACCACATTTTCTTTATCCATTCATCTGTTGAAGGGCACCTAGGTTGGTTTCATAGCCTAGCTATTGTGAATTGAGCTGCTGTAAACATTGATGTGGCTGCATCGTTGTAATATGCTGATTTTAAGTCTTTGGGGGTATAAATCGAGAAGCGGGATGGCTGGATCAAATGGTGTTTTCATTCCAAGCTTTCTGAAGAATCTCCACACTGCTTTCCATGGTGGTTGCACCAATTTGCAGTCCCACCAGCAATATACGAGTGTACCTTTCCCCCCACATGCTTGTCAACATTTATTGTTGTTTGTATTCTTGATAATTGCCAGTCTGACTGGGTAAGATGAAATCTTAGAGTAGTTTTGATTTGCCTTTCTCAAATTGCTAGAAATGTTGAATATATTTTCATATATTTATTTGTTGATCAGTTGTATTTCTTCTTCTGTGAAGTGTCTATTCAGTTCCTTTGCCCCTTCATTGATTGGGTTATTGGCTTTTTTGGTGTTAAGTTTTTTGAGTTCTTTATATATCCTGGAGATTAGTGCTCTATCTGATGTTCATGTGGTAAAGATTTTCTCCCATTTTGTAGGCGCCCTCTTCATGTTATTGATTGTTTCCTTGGCTGAGAAGAAGCTTTTTAGTTTGAGTCCATCCCATTTATTGATTCTTGATTGCATTTCTTATGCTTTAAGAGTCATGTTAAGGAAGTCAGGTCCTAAGCTGAAACAATAAAGATTTGGGCCTACTTTTTCCTCTATAAGGGGCAGGGTCTCTGGTTCAATTCCTAGGTCCTTGATCCACCTTGATTTGAATTTTGTGCAGGGTGAGAGATAGGGTTCTAATTTCATTTTTGCTGTATATGGCTTTCCAGTTTTCCCAGAACCATTTGTTGAAGAGACTATCTTTTCTCCAAAGTATATTTTTAGTGCCTTTGTCTAGTATGAAATACCTGTATTTATGTGGGTTAGTCTCTGTGTTCTCTATTCTGTACCATTGGTCTACCAGTCTGTTTGGGTGCCAATACCATGCTGTTTTTGTGACTATTGCTCTGTAGTATAGTTTAAGGTCTGGCATTGTGATGCCTTCACTCTTCTTGCTAAGGATTGCTTAGGCTATTCTGGGTCTCTTATTTTTCCAAATGAATTTTATGATTGCTTTTTCTATTTCTATGAAGAATGGCATTGGGATTTTGATAGGACAATGTTACTAATTGCAGCATTACCATCTGCATATTTTAAAAATCAGGACCCCATAAAAGGGGAAGAAGCAATAACAAAAAGGGAAGAAGCAGAGAGCTGGGGTTTGGGAGAATTCAGCAGAACTGGGTTTGGGATATAGTCCTGCTTCTAGTGGCTCTATGACCTTGGACAAAAGTTTTCATCTTCTTGAGCTTTTCATTTGTAGGCGTCTATGAACGTAAGGAGGAGAAAAGGAACAAAGGGCAATTTAACTGGAATTAATTTATTCAGGATTATACCAATTAAAGCTCAAGCAGGCTTCAGAGTCTGAGGGACTTTTAGTCCAGGAAACTAATAGTTCAATGTCAAAGGTAACTCCTCTCAGCTTCTCAGGAGACTGAAGAAGGAGGATCCGCAAGTTAGAGGTCAGCCTTAGTAATTCAGTATGACCCTGTCTCAACATTAAGAAAGAAAGAAAAACAGAGGGGTGTGTGTGAGGAGGCAGTCCTGAGGATACCACTCAGTAGTAGAGTGCTTACCTAGCACGCTTGAGGCCCAGAGTTCAATCCTCAATGCTAAAGAAGGAAAAAAAAAAAAACGTAACTCCCTAGATCTTGAATCCAAGAAGAGATCTTGAGGAATTTCTCAGTTAACTTCTAAATAACTCATGTTCCCTATGTGTGCACTCTACCCCAATGTATCACCCGACCAAGGAAACTACAAACTTAAAGAAACAGCTATGGCTATAACAATTAAGTGATTATCTCAAAACAGCTAGTAGAGAAGATTTTCAATGTTTCCAACACAAAGAAATGATATATGTCTGAGGTGACCGATATGCCAATTACCCACCCGATCATTATACATTGTATACATGTATAGAAATGTCACACTATACCCCGTAAATAGTTACAAGTACTACATGTCAATTAAAAATAAAAAACATATTAAGGAAGAATTTAAAAACCTACCAGGTCCCTCACTCTTCCATCTAAAGTCACCTGGGAGTCCCTGCTGCCTGAAGTCTCCCTGCCTTTTTTTATGATACTTTTCCTTAAGGATTCATCATGGGTCTGCCTCACTTGATAATGGACGTACACATTCTCTGTTTCTTGGTTTTGAGAAGATCCAGAACCATCAAAATGAGGAAAGCTGGGAAGGAGAAACAGAGACAACCCTTGCTGTGGTGTGGATATGAAGGAGGTGCCCCTGAAAGGTCATGTGCAAGAAATTCAGAGGTGAAATAATTGGGTTATGAGAGCCTTAACCTAACCAGTGCATTAATCTAGTGGCAAAATAATTGACTAAAACAGCCCTGATCTTCATCACTGTGTTCTCAAAATGCATAATTGATATCTCATCTTCCCTGGAAGATTGCTGTAAACACCCAGCAGGTATCTATACCTCCTAAAAGACAAATGGGGCCTTGATGGCCCCAGAAAAAAAATTCAGGGTTCGTTTTGCTTATGGTATTGATTTCCAGTTAAACCTATTAAAATTGAATTTCTGAGTTTCATTGAATCAGAGCTGTAGAAAATGAGTTCTGAGAACCCAGCTACCTACAACCGACAGAACTTGTGTCACATTCACATGACATAATTACTCCATTGTCTCCATGTGAAACGAAACTCTCCAGACTGAAGGAATCTCTGAAATAAAAGGGTTTAGTGAGCCATTACAGATACCAGCAAGAAAAGGTCAAAATCCCAGCAACTCAGGAGGCTGAAGCAGGAGGATTCCAAGTTCAAGGCCAGCCTGGGCAACTTAGCAAGATCCTGTCTCAAAATACAAAGGGCTGAGAATGTGGCTTAGTGGTACAGTGCCTCTGAGTTCAATCCCCAGTAATGCACGTAAACACACACATAAATACACACACACACACACACACACATGCATAAACAAATCAGGTCCATGGATGAGCTCTGCATGTCTAGTAGCAAGGCTGGTTAGCAGTTGGAAATAAGCCCACTAGACCTAAAAACCAGAGCATTTTTATAAGAAAAATCTGGGGAAGGAAAATATAAATTATTTACATTGAACCTACACTCGCTATACAAAAGAAGGGCAGGATAAGGAAAAACGGAGAACACTTTAGGACAGGAGTGCACAGGAAGAAGTCCTGTTGCTTCTGTCTTCGTTGGGATTAACAGTCAAGAAAGTCGTAACTGACAAAGTGGTGCCTGGAGGTGAGCCACTGGAGATTGAGCCATGGTTTCAACGAATATTTAAGAACATGGAACAGGCTTTTGTCTGGTTTTCTCCTGTGGCCACTGGTTAACTTCCCATATCTCTTCTCCCCTCTACATTCTGGCTTTTGTCATTAAATGTAAAGCATCTTAGAATTTTTTTTAATGAAGCAAAACTTTACTATTCCAGGAGAACCTTTGCTGACAGATGGCTTGATGATCATCATAAAAGTTTCCAAAATACCCATCAAATCTTCAGTGAAAAGCCTCCATCGCAAGATTGTGTGAATTCCTTG